AATTGTACTTGTGCAAATTGGGTACAAAATGTTGCTACTCTTATGCAGCAGCAATGTTCATCTCCTCCTTTATACTCACTTTGCACAGGTGTTAAGTTATTATACAAGGTAAAATTCATGTAGAGTTAGGTAAAACCAAACCATCCATGTAGCCAGATGCCTCATATCACAAACAAATAAAAATAAATAGTTACTATCATTGTTTTTATTAGTAGTAGTACTAAAATATGCACTGTTTTGGGGGGATTATTGTTTCTGAAGCAGGGAAAAGGGTAAAATCCTAATTCATAAACATCTTAGTATCCTGGACAATAGCAGGAAAGAGTATGTCCGGAGAACAGTACTATATGCCCATGCCCTCATATCCATCTTTTGACATGATCTCTGCCGTATTTTTCTGCCCTCTGGTTTTAGCTTCCTTTTTTCACTGAAATACTGGGTTAATCTTCCACATATTCTGCTCAGCCTCATCTGCCTTCCCACTTCAAGAAGGCACTGAGTCACCTTCTTTTTTCCAGTCTTAGTTTAAATTTGTCTGTTTATTTGAGCCTAAAATTGATCATCTGCCTACTCACCTGCCATTTCTATCCCTACCATTGTATCTTATCTAAAATAATAGTTTATTGCATCTTTATCCAAGTTTCTTAACTCTCTTCAATCTTTGTAGTTCATTATTCCCCCTTTACCTGCATGAATCTCTGTATCTTCTCTGTTAAATGTTATCTCTCCATCATACATCTCTCTGTGCAGCTTTTTTGATATTTTACTTCATAGAGCACTATTGTAAAAAATAAATTGTGCTGCGTTATATTGTTGAGCCAAAGTCCCTGTGGGCCATTCAAACGGTAATTTTGCCTTCCTTAAGAGCTACTATAACTTTGTAGTCCCATCTTTTATATCCCAAACTGAACAGTGTCTGATAACTTCAGTACTTTATGTATTACCAAAATGTTAAAACGCCTAATCAAACTCTACATTTTTTATTTTATTACTTTCTCTTTTTTCCCTAAAAGATGAAACTCAAGCTGAGAAGCAAGTAAAAGACAAAGGGCAATGTGGACCCTACCCCTAGTACTAATGGGGAGAGAGAGCTCAGGGGTAATTGGCCCCTCTCAGTCCCTGGGACAGGCTAACTCAGGCAGAGCCCAGGTGTGAGCAGTGGTAGACAGGCCTGGGGGCAGAAAGGGAAGGTCAGGTAGTCATGAACTTAATAAGCACAAGTGCTGATCCAGTGAAGGCAATCTGTCCAGGGGAGCTGCAGGAGGTAGAGCTCCAGGATACAGCCAGGCTGTGTGACCCAGGGGAAGGACTCTGAGCTGCAGAAGGGTTGAAAGGAACCCTGCCTCGAAACTAAAACCATCCCTGACAAATGTAGAAGGAGATGGTGAATGAAGATCATCTTCTGTCTAGTTGTCTAGTGGTTTGATCATTTGGGATCTAGCCCTTTCTCTCCTTGCAGAGACTCAAACCCAGAGCTCCCATTTCTTAGGAAAATAGCCTCACCACAAGACAATGAGCTCAGAGGTTTGGGTGGGGGGAGCTTTCCACTCCTCTTGAGGTGGACATCAGATAGCCAAAAGTGCAAGGTGCATGAGGTTAAAGAAGAGCAAGCAAGTGGAACAAATGACACACTAACAATTGGTTAGCCTGTCTCCTGGAAGAAGAAAAATCTGGTCTGGACTATTTTAACCAATGGCTATTTTACATAAAAAGCATAATTATTCCCAGCAGCAAGTACTGGAACCTAGGAGAGTGCTATACATGGGAGGATATGAAGTCAAATGCTCCATTAGCACTCTAGTTCAGGTAAGTATCTTCTCTCAGAGTGATCCAGATCCTGACACGACAAAATCACCTCTCTTAGTCCTAAATTAGGCACTTAAGCTCAGAAAATTAGTGGGAGTTCAGACATATCTGTGTCTAGAGTTCTTATGGGCTAGCTGCTCAGTGACTACTCTTGACTAGGCAATCTAGATCAGTTTTGGGAGACACATAGCCCTCTACATTCACAGTGTAAGAAACTCTTTTATGTAACCAATCTGAGTCACACTTCTGGGACAAGATTGCAACACCTAACTGGAAGCATCTCTAATGCAATTATGATCTTTCCTTGAATGATAAGAGATGTGACTATAAGAAACCTGGGGTTCAGACCATAAAACAAAATAAAGGTGTGTCATTCTCATGCAGTAGTTAGGAAAATAACCAGTGGCAACATTAAAACTTAGACAGAGTTAAGGGGAAAGAACAATATAGAAAGTCACCAGCAGTTTCGTCCAGAGGAAGCAGTCTGCTTATTCCACAGAGTAAAGTATATATTGCATAAATGGTAGGT